GTCTGGAACGGAGGGGTCTGGAACGGAACTCGCAGGACTTGATCCGGAGCTCTGGATCGGGGTCTGGATCGGGATGTGCGCTCGCCCTTGTTCCGGACCTTTCATGTTGAGCGGTAGCCATATAGTCGCAGGGAGATATCTGGGTTCCTTCCACAGAGTGGGGAGGCCCCGGGAGGACTTTCAGATGGCACCATGTTAAGATGGGAGCATGTTGGACCTCCCGTGGACCCCGCATGCTCTTCATTTTGGCCCCCGAGGAAGCTGCTCGCCCTCAGATGATCCAGGTGCCTCGTGCTAGGCATGCATTTCTCAAAGACACAGGCAACACTTCAGCGTGAAGACCCGCACACACACGCCGAACCCGACACGAACCGGGCCCCAAGAAATTGATTAATGTTCAGGGGGATATTTATTGAAGGAATTAGATAGGGCTACCTTTAAACTCCATTTAAATGCCATGGAAAATGCATAATTGATTTAGTAATTAATTGAATATCGAATTAAAATACGTCTAGAATCAATTAAAATTAAATCAAACTTCCTTTTCATCAATTGAAATCTAAGTAAAATTCCTTAGAAAATCAATTGAAATGCAATGAGAATCCACGTTAAAATCAATTGAGGTTTAATTGAAATACCTTTAAAATTGATTGATTTTTCTTAAAATTCCTTTTAAAATCAATTGAAATCGAATTAGAATCCACGTTAAAATGAAAGGAAACTTTTAAACACATGCAGTAAAAATCGATTAAAATTTACTTAAAATTCCTTGAAAACAATTGAAATCGAATTAACATCCAATCAATTGAAATTTAGTTAAAACACCGTTAAAATCAATTGAAATGTACCTAAGATTCCTTTAAAATCAATTGAAATCGAATTAACATCACGTTAAAATCAATTGGCATTTAATTCAAATACCTTTGAAACCAATTAAGATTGATAAAAATCATCTAAGATCAATTGAAATCGAATGAATGAAACTCAATTGAGATTTAATTACATATGGCTAAAATTGTAATAAAATCAACTAAAATCGCACCCAATTCTCGTATATACAATCCTTTATTAAAACCAAAAGAAAAACAGCCAAAACCCAGGAATCGGAGGGGATCCCTAATTCCTTTGTATTTCTTCTAATACCCCCTAACGACCTCAAACCCCCCCTAATTCATTATTAGGTGGCCCCTTTTAAAAGTAGTCTTCCCCTTTTAAAAGTAGTCTTCTGGAGTTTTAATCCTCTGAATTTATCATTTAATATTGGGGGTGGATTTGATATTTTGGGGGGAAGGGATTATGTGGATACCTCCTGCCCCGGTTGCTTTATTTGGAGGCTTCCCCATGACTCCCATGGTGTGGTCAAGGTACAGCTACTCTGGAAAAGCCTGCCCAGACCCGCAGACCAAAAGCCCTGCTACAAGACGAGATCATTTGACATTTGATTCCTATTCTACTGGGCCTCCGATTGAGGTTCCTCATAAAGTTTCTATTGAAATACAGTAGCTGCGGCTGGCTCGGCTTGGTATAAGTATGCATATATCTAATATGGTATACTTCAGATTCCTCAAGACCTCCCAAAACCTTCAAATTTTACCTATGCAAAGCTGGGGGCCCCACAGCGTTCCTTTATGTTTCTGAAGGTGTGGGACGCACTCGCGCTGGCCCCTTTCTTAACTGCTGCAATGGATCTCCCGCTCATCACCAGGCAGCAGGGCGTATGGATATGGCAAGAGGAATGTGGCAAGCCACCTTGTGGGTTACCATGATGCACCAATTAATCTCTTACTTCTGCATCGGCCATCCAAGACAAGCCAACGTGTCATTGCACCATGCTGTGAGTTCGTCCATGTTTTTTGGACACCGTCCTCATGCTCCATTAATTATCTTGAAACATGAATGCCTGGCTGACGTTTCCGGTGAGAAAAGCGGAGCCTTCAGGGTAATTTATGAGTTTCCCTTGCGGTCAAACTAGTTGCACGAGACCCGTTGAAACTTGGCAGCATTTAAAGTGATCATAAGATGATAGAAGCTGTATTGCCCCCGCCAGCACAATTCAGGCGCAGGTCCCCCCTGAAAGCCTCGGCGGTGGCGGCTGCAGAGCGATCTCCTCAGCGGGTTGAGGGTCACGCTGGGACAAGAAATGAGACAGAAACCTTTGATAAACTTCACCGTTCACCACATACCGACGCGCAGGGCCCCGGAATTAGAAGAGACTGTTCTCTGAAACGCTTCAATCAGCTGAGGTGCATCAGCTGCACAGGGCATGGAGTCAAAGGTGCAACTACCTGGTGCGCATGCGCTGCAAAGTTCTTCTGCGTGAGCTGTTATGGACTTCCAGATTAGCTCCAAAATTGTCGCTCCCCTTGTTCCACACTTTGGGAAGACTGCACAATGCTTAAAAGCAAATTCCTCGTGGCGGTATGCCCATGAATGGAAATGTCACTAATCTAAACATCACCAAGGCCCGGCCACCCGATCGCATTGAGACAAGGCCTGTGATAAGACTTTGCGCAGGCTAGTCCCACATGATATCAGCAGCTGGAGCATAGAACGGCAGCCAGTCATGAAGTAACTGAACCAAAACCTGGAAGACTCAGCCCCTTGGCCCTGGTGCCATTGTTGTGAACTTGGATAGCTGCGCCCTCGTGGGCCAACCATTCAGCAGGAGTTCGCAGCCCGGCTGGCAGACGGACCTTAGGCGTAGCTAAATCAACTCTGGCGGATTCCATACCAAGCCTATGAAGCTACAGGTAGCTCCAAGACTCCCAAGAGATGCCATGGACGACTGTCACTAGATAATCCACTCAAAGCGAGTACAAACCTCGAGACAGGGCGTTCAAGATGGGTCGGTGCTTTCGCGCCTCAAACCCCAACGTGGCATCAAGTCAACTGGTGCATGCCATGGGCAGAGGACAAAGAGGCTGCCTGAGAAGAAACTCGCCTCCGTCCAACAATTGCCAATGACATGCCTTCCTCTTTGCGACATCTGTCCCCAGGCATTCCTGAAAAGTTTCAAGCTGGCTGAAGATCTTCCGCAGCAGCTTTTCTGCCACTGAGCTGCGTAGCGCAGGCTTCCTGCAAGACCACGGCTGCGGAGCAGCGCTATTGAGCGGCGGAGTTCCAGCGCTGGCATCACAACCTGGCTTCGATCTACTTGCAGTATGAAACAAGCCGAAGGTCTTGACAAGGCCTAAGTAAAAAGCAAACGGGGAAGGTGCTATAGGCTATAGGCTTTTGTTGAGGCCATAGTGTAGCTTGCGTGAAATCCACGACTTCAACAAACTGAGGGTCCGCAAAAGCGAGTATCTGGGTTACAAAATGGACTGCCAGGAAACCGGTAGCGCTGTGTTCTCTTCCTCCAGTTGTACACCAGCGGCATCCAACGAGCCCATTCGCGCGTAGTAGGGCACGAACTGTCTGCAATTCGGAAACTAAATCACTTGTCACGTGTTGGTCATGCAAGAGAAGCACCTGATCTGCTGTCCATGCGCTGTCCAGACTAGGCTGTCAAGTCACGGGCCAAGGCCAGGTAGCAGGTCCATGAGTTTGCGCCACATGATTTAAGTTCATCCAGACCATGTTTTTTGTAGCCAACTTGCCATCTACACCGTGAAGACAATTCTGATGCAGCGGCCTGAAAAACAAGTGATGCTGACGATCTTGAGCGAGTGTAAGCTCACGAATTAGGCCAGGCAAAATCAACCTCATCATTCCTCATCCACACGGCTTGGCATGAGAAGGCCTGCCGCTGTGGTTCGCAGAGCGAAGGAATTGAACAGCCTGCTTGGGCTCAATCTCCGTCCACACGTTCCTGGACAGGTGGAGGCTGTGCCATAAATCACGAAACAAGCAATTTCCCAAACGTGCGTTAGCATCCTTAACGTGGCTGCGCTAGAGCTGTGGACTAGACCGTGTTCGTGAAGTTGGCCTAGCAATGCTTGTGTGATTCAGTGCAGCTCAAGCTGCTGCGCCGCAAATAGGCCAGTGGCCTCCAAGGCTGCGGATGTGACACAACCCTTGATCAACATAACATGGCGACGTGAACTCACTTTCGGAATTTTGTCAGGGTCAGCATGTGCAAGCACACATACGCGGGTTTGCGTTTGTGATCATCTGGAAGGGGAAAGGCTTGGCGAAGTGTCAATCCAGCCACGTATAGCTGGCTGCTGTCTTTCTAGTGGAATACACTACAATGATAGGAGCCTGCACTGGGATACCAAGCTGCTGCAACATTCTCGAGTGAGAAAATCTTATTGGCAATGCTAGCAAGCCGCTGCTAAGCTTTGCCCCAGCACGTTGTACTGACACATGCTTCTGCAGAAGGGAACAAGTCCTACAAGGCGACCCAGCACCCTCGAACATTGAACACCTACTTTCACAAGGACTTCTACGCCAAACAAGACTTCGTCTATGCCTGATCGATTCGGAGCAGCTCGCTCCCAAAGGTTCTGGGAAAGGCTTCCTGGCAAGCAGAGCTTTAGCCCACCAAGACTGATGGAAAGCTCCGTGAAACAGAAATTCATCGGCGGTGTTGGAGCTGGAGCACCTAAATGGGGCTCTAGTTAAGTCTCTTCGCCTTCGACGGTGTGGGTGGTCCTGTGGTGTGTCAGACGGAGAGCGCGACTGTATAGGAAAGGAAAGGCTGAGAAGGCTGGAGATCACAGCACGGACACTGAAGAGTCAATATGAGTGTACCAGAGAGCAGCACACCTGTGTGCGATGGAGAAACATGCAGAAAGGGGAAGATGCGCTGATGAACGCATGAAGGGTCTCCTTACTATGTTGCAGTACATATCTCATCGTACATGTACACAGCACATAGACCAAAAATATGTCCGCTAAGATTTCATGTGAATGCATTGGAGGACATGGCGCTAGGCTATCAGAATCCATGATAGTAATACTAGTGTTTCTTGATGTTTGTGCCCAGCTAAGACCCCTCCATGTCAAAGGGCTACGCATCTCTGGAGTCTCCCCTGAATGAGCTTTCTGTTGCTTCTGAACGTGCGGTGTGGCCGCAGGTCATGTAAGCCAGTGGGATCATAAAGGGTTTGTAAACGATGATGTCCTCACAGGGGGCCTGCAGGAGCCCGGTCGGGACCAAGAGGTGGTTGGAGCCCGCATAGTGCTTCAAGTTGGCATACATGGAGCAAGAAGCCTGGTCGGGATCCAACAAAACACCTTGAATATCCTTGAGTACTCAAAGGCCCAAGGGTCACAGAACTTCCTTGATGCACTCAAGCATCTTGGTGCTGCGCTTGGGCGCTCAGTACAGATCAAAGAAGAAATCTATTGGACATTCTCAATCCTTAAGTTTTCACGAGTCACCTGCATCGTCCAGTTCTCATCCTGAAAGACCTTATACAGAATTCAGAGCCGAGCAGTTCAATCACCAGAGCTCCCAGCACAAACTTGTCCACCACCTTTTAACCCGCTTGCACGTAAGCCTGGGCAAGTATCTTTGTTGGCGAAACCTGTGCCATGATACTTGCCCCCTTCTGAAATAAATACCAGCCAGGCTTTCAAACATGCCTGCAAGCCCTCCCATCCGAAGGAACCAATAAGCCAAGCAAAGTGGCCATATGTTGGAGGCCAAGCACAGGAAGTATGAAAGCATACCTGGGCCAGCTTGTTCACACTACTGGTTGTCGGGGCAATGCCTCCAGGAAGCTTTAGAAGATCTCCGCAGGCTCTTGCTGCAAACCCTCGATCTCCTCTTCAGACCATGTTGACTTGTGAAGAGCCTCATCCCACAGTGTGCAACTCGGCCACGCTAAGGTGGCGAGAGAAGTTGGCCGAAGTATGGCGCCGGCGCAGCATCCTGCTGGAACTTTGAACAAACCGGGGGTGGATCTCACAGTACGGGAGCTGGATTTCACAGAGACTTCAAACACCCGCCAAGACCCAGGCTGCGTGAGCGCGTTTAGACGGTGGACCCAGAAATCGTTACGTGTACTCAAGCGCGTTGGCCTTGGGGGATGGGGGCCTACAGCGCCAGAGATTGAACAGTGCTGAACCAACACAAAGGACGCTTGAATTCGGAACATGGTGCTGGTTTGAAGAATCGTTTCAGGGCCACTTTGATCAGCTTGGGCGAGTGTGGAAGTTGAGACAAACGGACAGGTCTGACTTTCAAACTTTAGCCTGCGCTTGCAACCCCAAAGCCTGCATCTGGAACCCACCTGAGCATAAGTTGCTGAATCGTCCCACGTCAAGCACCCGAGCCTGAGCCTTTGTTCCATTCGCCGCTGCTGCAGGCAAGAACAGCTGAGCCTCTGTTGCTGCCGCAAGGTTGGCGGCATGCGGAGCACGGTTTGACTGGCTCTTGAGACGAAAAGTGTTCTCAAGCTGGCCACGAATCGTTTCGGACGCCTAGATTGCTGACAGTACCCGCAGCGGAAGATCATGAAAACATTGTTCATGTCCTGAGGCCTGTCGCCTCATGGCCTTTGGACCACAAGATCTCTTTACGAGTCAGCTGTTCAAGACTTGGATATGACTCCAAGGCTTTTAGGCTTTAGGTGTTGGGCCCAGAGATATTGTTGCAGCGTCGGGTTTGCCAGGATTCTGGGCCTCTTGTGGATGGAAGTCAATGGCCGACACAAACTCTTCAGAAGGCTTCCCATGCAGGGCCCGCGATGACCCCAAAGGCTTTTTGGGCACGGAATGCCGGGACTCACAGCTTCAAATGAGGCTTGGAAATGAAAGACTTAAGGGGTCTCCAGGGATCTCCGAGGTCTCCACAGACTTAGAGCTGGACATTGGCCTGGTGCTATGCAATAGCAACTAAGGATGCTCAAGCGTAACTCTGAAAGGCCAAGCCACCAGTCATGAGCAAAATCAAGACGAAGATCGCGAAGGCTGCACCTTCAGCTGAACTCGAACAGTCTCCGCACTGTCTCAAGCAGAGATGTTTACTCTACTCCAACAAAGCCAAGGCTAATTAACAGATCCGGTAAGCTGAAATCGTTTGCATAGACTTCACGAGCTGCAGCTCCTCTCATTTATCTCAAAGCGGATTCGGAGCCGTGACTTGTTAAGGAACTGCGGATGAAGCCGGCCGCGACTGCAGCGCCGAGAACCGCAGCAGCCGAGATACGTGCAGAGCCTGCAGCCTGGCACTCCCAAAGCTCTTGGCCACGCAAGGACCACAATCTCGATCTTTCTCGGGTGCAGAAGTCAAGCGCCTTTGGAGGAAGGCAAAGAAGAAGTCGCGAAGCGCAAGTCACGGAGAAGCCTTCCAAGCTGCAAGCAAGGACTGAAGTTTCACAAGCATGGCCACAGCCTCCAGCAAAGTTTGGCGCAGGTGCCAGGACCACAAGAAGGTGAAAGAGCAATGCTAACGGAACCTGACCACACGGATGAGCTTGGTTGCAGTGCTCAGGCAGTCAAGCTCACGAGTGGACTGTGTGGCATATCGTAGAAGGCCAAACAGAACCAAGGGGCGCCCAATCGCGGCGCGAAGCCCAGGGCGAAGGGCAGAACCGCCTGGCAAAGGTCTCCCCCAAATCCTTCTGAGCAAAATCACTGTTGCTAACTGTCCCTTTCCCCATGCCATAATTATAAACTCAAATTCAAAGATTTGCAATAGGCAATAACTTTGAGTTGGGACTCAGAGGTCACGTTCATTTGGCTTTGTCCGAGTTGCATTGCTAGCACTAACTGCAGCCAAGACACTTCGCCTCCCAATGCCGCAAAAGGGGCCAGCCTGCAACGTCTAACGTATCTGCTTGTCGTACTTGGCCATGTCTGAAAAGAAATTACAGTACGCATGCATGAAAAGGTACAGAAGCCCTTGCGTCCTGCTAGGAAGCAAAGCCGATAGAGCTTGCCCTGACCCGCAAGGTTCCAACAGGCTTGCAGGCTTCTGCTTGGACAGTTGCGGTCAAGAAGGCCTGGCATCATTCTGTGAGGTTCCGGTTTGGACAAGTTCCTGCGGTAAGGAGGGATCTCCTTGCCCCTTCCATGGCAAATGGTTTGTACGTTTGATGTTGAAGGGTCTATTCCACGTGCGTCATGCCGACATGCGGGTCCTGGCCACCGTGGGCGCCAGATCCGCAGCGATGGTGGGAGGTGCGTAGGCGGCAAGGACCTGGGTCAATATCACCTGAGCCATCGAAAGCAGCAAAGAGGAGTCAACAGCAGCGAATCATTGCCTTGAACCTGGATCCACGTCTCAGGTCTTACGTTTTCCGCACCGCCAACGCAATGTGATCGCCAGAGGGATGAAGCACTTGACTCAGAGATGAATCAGGTGCCGGCAGAGCCAGAAGTTCCTCTTTGTGATGTTGAGAGGATGAGTCACGCAAGTTCCCAGATTGCCGAGTGAGCCAGGTATGTTGAACAGTTGCACAAGATGCTGGATGTACTAAATGGGAATCGTTGTTGAAAC